CTGTAGGCCATGCACTGATCTTCTTTAGGGAAATTTCTCTTCAAATCCCTTGCCCACCCTGAGATGGGATCACTCGTTTTCTTCTTGCTAATACGTTTTAGTTCTCTATGGATTCTGGTTATTAAACCTTTGTCGGAGACATAACCTGCGGGTCTTACCTTTTTAATGGGGGGTGAGGGGTACTTGGGAGGCCTGTTGGTCCCCACACTTCACTTGCTGGCATGGCAGGACTTGGCTTGTGTTTTCTTGGAGGCCAGACCTGCCTCACCATGTGTGTCCACAATCACACCCAGGCTCCCCTCCCAAGTTGACTCTTTCCCAAACACTCACCCACAGCCACGTGCTCACGGACACATGAGCTCATGCTCAGGGCCATGGATCACCACGTGCATGGGGACAGAGACAGCGTCTATTCACATCTATTCCCCGACCTTCACCACCATGTCACACACACACATTGTAGATGGTGAGAAAATATTCACTGAGGGCCATGGACATTTCCTGGCTACACAAACTTAGACAAGATCTGACCATTTCTCTTACCCTCAGTTTTATTTATGGAAAATGGGGTTAATAAACAGCAATCCAAAAATTACTGTAGAAAGTAATTCTATTGCTGTCAGGCCCGGTATCTCTTGGCCCATCTCTGAGCTCACCTGCAGCTACAGAGGACCCATCAGCCAAGGGCAGTTTTCTTTCTCAGGGCCTTGGTTAGCTATGCTGCTCTGCCTGAGGCTGTTCTCTGGCTCATAGGTCACCACAGGGATTTGTCTCCACCTGGGAATTATAACTGAGGATTTGGGGGGGGGAGTCAGAATCCCGGGGAAACTCCCCAACCACTGGGGATGTGGCCCAGTGGGGATGAGAGCAGTGGATGAAGCACCAGCCTCCTCGTCCTCCCATGAGACGATTCTGAGTTCCATAGTTTCCCAGAGGGTACCCTCAGTGTGGAACTGCAGTTGCCTAGAGCGGTGACCAAGTCATTAGCACCCCCTTCCCTGCCCCTTCTTGTTTCTGCTCCCCACTCCTTCTGGGCTCTTCCTGGGACAATCTAAACAAATGACTGCACCCAAGTCCTGGTCTCAGGGACTACTTTTGGGGATTGCAAAATGTGACGGTTTTTATTTTAGTTTATTTTTCAACTATCGTATTTACCTAAAACAAATTGACAGGTTTAAGCACCTGTCTTCAGAAAAGCCAGCAGCATTTTTTGGAAATATATGCAAAGTAAGATTTGGCCTAAGCCCTTAAAACCTTCCTGAATAGCCGTGCAGCTAAACACCCCTTAGAAGATGGTAATGAGGGAGAAGACCACAGAGCTAGTCGCACTCTTTCCCCTGGATAATACAAACAAGGTAAAGCCAATCCAGATCTCTTTGAAGGAATGGCTGTCATGTTTAATACACTTGGAGCTCTATAAAACTAGAGCCACTATCATAAATGCTTATATAGATATATACTGCTTATTTATAATAAAGTCTCTTGCTTGCTTCAAAATTTAAGGATGATCTTTTTCCTGGTCAGTCATTTCAAGGGAACAATAAAGTAGAAAAGGATGACTTGTTTCGCATATGTCTGTGGAAGAATGAAGAGCATTTATACTTTGAGAGGTTCAGAAAATTCACTGTACAGAATGAACAGCTTATAGACACTGTCTGTGCCATTTTTTTTGGCTGGGGTATTTAAATGCAAGAGCTCCTCCAAACCAAGCAGCTACATGTTCATTCTTGTCCAAACGCCTCTGTCTCTTCTATTGCAAAAAGAAGTTTTCCTTTAGTCGTTCATAACTCTTATATGGTGGTAGATCCACGCGATTCAAACGTGAATGGCTTCTTGGTAACCAGGTGTCTTTGCCAACGTTTTCAATGCAAAACTTTTGAGGCCCATCACTTCCCCTGAGCTCAGCTAATCCCCCTAGAGGTAAACGACAGGTTCCAGTGACGAACTGTAACAGTCGCATTCTTACTTCATTGTCTGTCTCTTCCACAAACTGCCAAAAACAAATGATTTACTTGCTGTTTCTTGTATGGTGTCGATAAACAGTATTTCTCTGCCAATCTACCAAGTCAACCTGCATGCCACACAACATAACCTCCAATTCTTTTTCATCAAAGTACTGTAGCCATTGAAGAGGAACAACTTCATTAAAACCATCAAGGAGGGTGGCGCCTATGGCTCAAAGGAGTAGGGCGCCAGGCCCATATGCTGGAGGTGGTGGGTTCAAACCCAGCCCTGGCCAAAAACTGCAAAAAAAAAAAAAAAAAAAAAAACCATCAAGGAAAGCTTTGGTCTGTTTTTGTACTCCTCGAGAAAAACACCATTCTGTCATTAAACCAATATATTCATCTTTGTTTTCCTCAGTCACCAAGATATTGGAACCTCCCAATTTGAGATCATGTGAAGTAACTTTTCCCCGAATCTCCATGTCAACAGAAAAGTACATTTCTAAGCCACACTCTTCAATGTGTTGACTCTTATCCAGATAAGAGAGTTATAAAATTCAGTGTCAGTAGATTCCAAATCCTTAATAGTAAGTTTATTACTTAGCAGTCGCTTATAGAATGGCAAAGAGAAACCAGTATCAATAAAGTTTCCGTGAAATAGTGCCATAGCAATAAAGCGACCAAGGAAACAGAAGTATGAAAGGTGGTCTGGATTAATGGTTGATGCTGAATTTATTTGCAAACAATAGTTGTTCTTGCCTGCATACTCAAACAAGCAATACATTGGGTTCAAAACTTCATGTGAAAGCAAGGAAAACCATTCTCTTGCTAGGCCACCATAATCAAGTCCTTCTTCTCCTCTAAGTATTACATATAATCACCTCCTCAAGTCATAGGGTTTTAATGCCATAATCTGTTGGAAGGAATCTTCAAGCACTGTCGGGACACATTGATCTTCACATGACTGGGTAGTGCATTAGACTGGCACAAATAACAGAAGTGAGCACGTTTTCACCTAAAGCTGCACTCAGGAGCAATTTGTGAACCACCTTTATTTACGGATGACTTCCCATTGCAAGGATCTTTGAGTATTGTTCTTATGTTATGATCAACCAAGGACCTAACACCTTCACGAGGGTACCTAATTTCCCACCCTCTGGCAGGGGTTCTTCATTCTGTAAACCTTGAGTTCTTGGATCTTCCCACTGGGTTGTTTTTGTGTTATGATTCACAAAGTGAACCCTATCTGTTGAATCCACTCTTTTTTCCCAGCCTGGTGACAAAGGTCCATGTGGATCATTTTCTACAGCTAACACTGAAGCCAAATAGAGGTATCGCGGGTTGAACTGTTGCATAGCACCCTGTGATTGGTTCCGCGGAGATTGCCACTGTTCAAATCCGGACAGATTCCATGGTAGGCCGCTGCCATGTTGTTCTGGTGTTACGATCCACATAATAAACCCTTCCATGATCATCAACTCTTCTTTCCCAACCTGGAGGTAAAGGTTGTGGTCTCTCCCACATGGTAGTTCGAGTGTTATGAGCCACACAGTAGGTTCTACCATGAAGATCTTTTCTCTGTTCCCCCCTGAGGGCAAAGTCTCTGTGTTGGCATTTCCAGGCTGCTGCCACACAGGTTCCACACACCCATCTGGCTGTCTGAATTTGGCTGCTCCAAAAGCAGAACTTTTTCCAGAATTAGAGGTGTCATGGGCTAATACACTTCTAACTTCAGCTCCCAATTCTGCACTGCTGGAAGGAGTATATTCATCGTTTTCAGAGGAAGTCACTATTTCTTGAACTGGAGGATCTTCGATGGTAGTACTAGTGCAATTTAAAGACAAGGCATATTCTTCCGACACTGTTGGAGTCACGGTGGTGGAAGCATGATCAATTGGTGCAAATGAGGATGATTCTCCGTTAACAGTGTCATTGGCAGGCTCAGATGTGAGTGGTTTGGGAGCTGGTATATTTTGGGGTCTGGCAGCAACCTGAGATGGAGAAGAAGTGTTGTCTCCATTAACTCCACACGAACTGGATGAGATTTGGACCAATGCGTTTGCAGGTACATGGTTACCTAGTCCATTAGTACCCTCAGCAGCCGGCACAGTTAGCTGTTCATCCCATTTTGGATTAGAAGAACTACTAGATTTTGCTGTTTTCTTAATTTCTCCATCTACAACCACTTCTGTATATATTGCTGTTCCAAACCAGGTTTCTTTTCTTTTTTTTTTTTTTTTTTTTTTGGTTTTGTTTTGTTTTGTTTTTTGCAGTTTTTGGCCAGGGCTGGCTTTGAACCTGTCACCTCTGGCATATAGGGCCGGCGCCCTACTCCTTTGAGCCACAGGCGCTGCCCTCAAACCAGTTCCTTTTTCTTTTTAGTTTGGCACTAGAAACAGTTCCTTGTAACTGTAACCTTCCACTGTGGTTGTTACTAGTATCAGACCTTGGTGAAGCAGCAGCCATGTCCCCCAATTCAGCTAAAACAATGTATCAGGAACAGTGCTACACACTGTGGATACAAAGATGAGTGAGACAGTTTCCTCTTTCAAGGAGCTCATAGTCTGGTGAGGAGACAACCACTGTGCAAAGTTGTCGACTTCCAGCAGCCGGGCAGCGACCGCAGCCGCACCTCCTCCTGCGGCGCGCGCCCTTACCCTTCGGCGCCCAAGATCGCCAACTCGCAGGAAGGCGCGGCGGCGGCAACAGCCACCCAAGTGTTGGCCCCGGCAGCCCAGGCCGCCGGCAGACACTCAGAACCTGTACGCTGATCCAGCGGACACGCGACCCTCCCCAGGGGACAGTTTTAAAATGAGACAGTCCACCTAAAAAGCCTAGCACCAGGACTGTCATATAGCAAGTGCCTCTCAGTATGGGCCAGTGTAGCTCTCATCAATACCCTCTTTATGCCATTAACATTGTCACCTTCACCCTCACTGTTGTCATCAAGGAGGGTCAGGGCTGACTAACTTACAGAGGATGGATTTCACCCGTATCTTCCCCCATCAAGTGCAGAAACTGGCAACAGACCCTCAGACCATTTGAGTTCCAGATCACGTGCGCATCAGATGTCCCAGGAACTCATCCTGGGTCTGGCACCTGTCAGGGGCCTGGTTGCAGCTGTTTTTTCTGCTTTTCTGCCTTTGAACTGTAAGGTAGAGGCTCAAGTGTCCCCCCTTGGAGCATGGCCAGGGGAGCCCGCCCCTCTACATGGGCCTGGCAATCCCCCATGGCCGGGCTCCAGCAGGAGGATCCAGTGATTTGCAGAAGGCACTCATTTTCTGGGCCCAGATGGCTGTGCCCCCAGCCCCTCCCCCACCGAGATGTGTGTCCCTCCTGCTCCATGGTCCAGTGATTAAAGCAAACATACTCAAAGCACCCAGTTGCGCCAAATCAAAGGAAAGATGAAGAATGCATAAAACCCCAGCAGTTTAAGTTTCATTTTGGAATATCAAAGGAATATTGAAATATAGGAATATCAAATACCAATTCATTATTTTTTTTAAATGTTTTGCATTTACAGACTCAATTTCAATGGGATAAAGCCTGCTATTTTTAAGCGGCTCCAGTATAATATAAACTTCATTGGTTTTAAAGGAAACAGATTGGAAACTTAGGGCACAGATAGTTTTTTCCCCCTCATTTTTGTGCACAGCTGTGAAAGGTCTCAATTACAGGGAGAACCAGAGATATTCACTAAGTTATGGCTGAGGTCACTGGACCTGGTGCCCAATGCAGGGAAACAGATCAGTGTGGTGTGGTTGCTGCCCTCATGGAAATGCCGTCCTCCCTAAGAAAGGCTGATGCATAGTGCATCACCATGGTTTTCCAGAGCCAACAGGTTGCCTGTATCTGTATTTTCTATTGACTGAGATTATATACTTATTTATTTATTTTATTGATACATAATAGATACACATATTTGAGGGGATCTACGTGTGATATTTTGATACATTCACATAATGTGTAATAATCAAATCAGGGTAATTGGGACATCTATCACCTTGCATCTATCACATTTATCTTTTCTTTATGGTGGGAACATTCGAATTATTTTCTACTAGGCTATTTTGAAATATACAGTAGGTTATTTTTCACTATAATTATTCTACTGATTTATCAAACAGTAGGTCTTATTTCTCCTATTGACATGTGTTTGTTTACCCCTTAATCAACTTCACTGGCTCATGCAACCGTGGGGGCTAAGTCTGAAATCCACACACAGGCAGATCAGCAGGCTAGAAATTTCAGCACGAGTGGGTGTTGCCTTCTCAAGTCCAAAGGGAGTCCAGAAGCAGAATTCTTGCCTCCCCAGAATACCACAGTCTTTGATTTTAAGGCCTTCACAGGAATGGATATGTATCTACACACATTACAGAGGGTAATTTGTTTTACTCAAAGACTACTGATTTAAAGGTTAATTTCATCTAAAAAATACCTTTACAGCCATATCAAGACTGTGTTTAACTAAGCAGCAGGGGACTGTAGACAAGCCATGTTGATATGTTGGTACATAAAATTAACCGTCACCCTGATGGTGAGAAGAAGGATAGGGCCTAGGTGAGTACAGGTTCTGAAAGGATCTTAGGAGTTTTAAAGAAAGTGGGAGGACAAACATGGGCCTTCAGCACTGGGTTCCCAGGGAATACGGCCCAGAAAAATCAAGCAGGCTCTTGTCATTCCCATCTGAATAAAGCTCCATGAGCTGGGTTGGAAAGCTGAAAAAAAAAAAAAAGAATTAATATCAATTTTTCACAAAATCTTTAAAAAAAAAAGAAGAGACGGTAGCCCCTTGCCACTCATGCTATGAGGCTGGTAATTACCCTGATACCCAAACAAAACAAAGATGTTACGAGAAAACTGGAGACCAGTATCTCTTCTGAATATGAATCTAAATCCTAAGTAATAGCCAACATATAAAAAGAATACACCACAACCAAGTGGAATTTATCTCAGAAATGCAAGATTGATTCAGTATCCAAGTCAATTAATGTAATATACCATATCAATAGAACAAAGGACCAAAACTACATGTTGATCTTAATAAGCACGGAAAATTCATTTAACAAAATCTAACTTCTACTTTTTATGATAAAACGTCTCAGCAAACTAGACATAGAAGGGTTCTTCCTCCACCTGATAAAGAACATCTATGAAAATCCCAGAGTCAACGTTGTATGTAACAGTGAAGGCTTGAATACCTTTCTGCTATGATCAGGAGTAAGAGAACGACCTCTGCTCTTGACAATTCTATTCAACATTATCCTGAGGCAGGATCCATTAGAGAAGAGAATAATGTAAAAGTCATTCAGATGAGTAAGGAAAAGGTGAACGTCATTCAGATTAGGAAGGAAAGGGTAAAACTATATTTGCAAATGACACGATTTTTCATATCAAAATCTCAGCTAATCTTCTGAAAATTTATTAAGACCAATAAACAAATTCAGCTAGGTTGCAGGGTAGAAGACCAATATACAAAAATTAATCTGAATTTCTATGCATTAGCAATAAACAGCCTGAAAATGAAATTAAAAACTAACTCCAGGCCAGACACAGAGACTCACATCTGTAATCCTAGTGCTTTGGGACATGGAGGTGGGTAGATTGCCTGGGCTGAAGAATTCGAGACCAGCTTGAGCAAGAGTGAGACCCTGTCTCTAAAAATTAGCCAGACGTTGTGGTGGGTGCCTGTAGTCCCAGCTACTCAGGAGGCTGAGGCAAGGGGATTACTTAAGCCCAAGAATTTGAGGTTTCTGTGAGTTATGAGGCAATAGCACTCAACCCCAGGGCACAGAGTGAGACTGTCTTAAAACAAACAAACAGAAAACTCCTCCATTTACAGTATCATCAAATAGAAAAAAAGAAAAACTTAGGGATAAGTTTAACAAAAGAAGTGTGAAATGTGAAATGCTCTGAAAATGACAAAACATTCTTAAAAGAAAGTAAAGACCTAAATAAACGGAAAGGCAGCCTACATTTATTGGAAGACTTAACATTGTCAAGATGGCGATACTGCACAAATTGCTCTATGAATTTCATGCAATTCCTATCAAAATCTCAGCTATTGGTGAGCTGAGTGTAAAGTTTATATGGAAATTTGAGGGACCCAGAGCCAAAACAATCTTGAAAATAAAGAAACAAGTTGGAATATCCATACTTCCTGATTGAAAAACTTACTATAAAGCTATAATCAAGATACGGTGGTCGTGGCATTAGAACAGACACATGGGTAGACCAATGGAATAGAATCGAGAGTCTAGAAATAAACTGTTACCTTTATAGTCAGTTTGTAACAAGGGTACCAAGACAATTCAATGGGGAAAGGTAATCTCTTCAATACATAGCGCTAACTGGATATCCACATGCAGAAGAATGAAGTTCGACCCCTGCCTCACACCAGATCCAAAAATCAACTCAAGATGAATCAAAGACCTAAATGTAAGGGAAAAAACTATAAACCTCTTAGAATATAGGGGTAAATTATTGTGAATTTGAATTAAGCAAAGCCTTCTTAGATGTGAAGCCAAAAACACAAATGACCAAGAAATAAATAGAAATTTGTAAAAATTAAACAATTTTGTAACAGCAAAAGACATCATCAAAAATAGTAAAAGCACAACACATAGAATGGGAGGCAATACCTGCAAATCATAGATTTGCTAAGGGTCTTGTATTTTGAATATAAAGGATACTCATGATTCAGTAACAAAGAGACAAAGAACCTGATTAGGAAATGGACCAAGAATTTAAACCAGCAGTTCTCAACCTGATCTACAGTTACAAAGTAGCAACGAAAATAATTTTATGGTTGGGGGTCACCACAACATGAGGAACTGTATTAAAGGGTCACAGCATTAGGAGGCATTAGGAAGGTTGAGAAGCACTGATTTAAACAGACATTTCTCCAAGGAAGAAATGTGAGTAAGGCAATGAGCACAAGAAAGATGCTCAACCTCATTGCTTACTGGGGAAATGCAAATCAAAACCACAGTGAGATATTGCTTCACATCTGGGATGAAAACCTCATCGTGCACGGCTGGTGGCATTCTAAAATGGTAGCACTGTCCTGGCAGCTCCTCAGGTGGTTAAACGTGTAAGTCACCATATGACCCAGAGGTTCCACTCCTAGGTATATGTAGTATACCCAGGAAAGATAACATATATCCACACAAAAAC